AATTTGGCTTAACCAGAGAGGCTGCTGGTCAAATCATCAAACAATGTGGTGGAATATGTTCACAATATGGCTATGGCTAATTTAAGGGTGAACCCTCAAGGCCTGCTCCCCAACCATTTATGGTGAATGGATGTGACTCACACTACAGAGTTTGGCAAGTTAAAAATGTGACACTCCACAAACAGGAGAAGCCACCAGGCATGTTATAAGTCACTGTTTAAGATGTTTTGCTTACATGGGAGTGCCAAAAGTTATAAAAACAGATAATGGGTCTGGATATACTAGCAAAGCTTTCCAGCTTATTTTGTGCTTAATGGAAAATTGATCAAAAAACATATTCCTTATATATGCCCAAGAACAAGGAATAAGAGAGCAGGCCCAGAGTGCCCTAAAAGCACAGCTTCTAAGATAAAAAGGGGGGAGCTGTGCCCCCAGTCTCCACATGGTGCATTAAAGAATGCACTGTTTATCTTAAATTTTTTAAATATGGATGCCAGTGAGCAATCTGATGCAGACAGATTCTGGCATGAAGGAACTCGAGCAAATGATGAATAGAGGGGACCAGACCCCATAATTATTTGGGGGTCGAGGGCATGTCTGTGTTTTCTTGCAGGAGGAGAACGAGGTGCACTGGCTACCGGAAAGATTGATGAGATGCATGGAAACCGAGAAAAACGGGACCTGGGCCCACAGGAGACCGTCTGAAACAGCTGGAAGGAAACACTGGACCTGTGTTCCTGAACCTTGAGGACATCCGACTAACAGCCGAGGGAGAAGGGAGACACACCCAGTTCCAGTTTCGAGATGCTTTCCACAGTTCCAGCTTCCCTACAGTCGGAATACATTCACCTCTCTGAATCCGTGAGTGCTCATCCAGGAGCAGACTAAGAACTTGACAAAAAAAACCAGCTTGCTTTCTTGCCACAAACAGACACACAAAACTGTTTTGCCAGTTTTCCCATTGGGAGAAAGGACCCATTTAGGACAGTCAGATACTGACATAAACCAGAATGGCAGAAGCTCCTTTACAATGTTTAAATAAGACATGGACAAAAGAATTTATAGTTAACTTTCAAAGACTGATATTACAAACCTGATGTTAAAACTTCGGATTTTGAGCAAGTGATAGAAAAGTTTGAAGGGGCATTGAGTCCCAGGCAGGGAATAAAGAAAAAATTTTAAATTGTGAAATTGTTCACACCCCACAGATTGTGAGAATATCTTATTGTCTTTTGATTGCTTTGTAACTCACCCTACTGTATGTTCATGATGGAATTGTTAATGTCTGTGATCTTGCTATATGTGTTATGCAAATGTTATTAGAAACTAGAAGTCAGAGTTCATTCTTACAGGAATGTAACGTACAGTTTACAAGCCTTAGGATAGAAATATGTTTTAGGGACCAAATTTTAATAAAGTCCATATCAGAGGCACTAGAGGCATTGCCACACAGATTTTAAAAGGCCATTTTAACTTCATATGTCTCCATCCCGCAGGAGAAGGTTTGCAGCCATTATAAGACCCCCAGAAGCTCAGGCCTCCAGAATCTTTTCCCAGGACTGCGGCCACCCCAATCATCATGAGGAGGCCGAAACTTGATGCAAACAGCAAGAGGCTTTAATGAAAGGTAGACGTTTGTACAAACGGGCTCTCTCAGCATGCAGGCTAGAGAGCAGCCCCATGCCCCAGGCACAGGCGTTTTTAAAGGCAAAAACTACAAGCTTAGGGAGGGGTGTGACCAGAGTCATGGGTTCCTAGGAGGCCCTTTGTCTTGAGGAGAGGCCTGGGAATCAGATGTCCTCCTGACCCACCAGTTATAAAACCTGCAGACCTCAGGATGTGCTAACTAATCCTGCCTGAGCAAATGGTAGCTATCTCTTTGTTTCTCAGGGACCCTTAATTGTTAATGATTGACACATTGGCCAGTGGGGCAATCTGTTTCCTTCATGAGCACCTCGGGGAGGTTGGCCATCTGGGAATTCTTGTTACTGTAAGGGAGTAATTGCTGGTGGCTGGTAAATTCCAGGCACTAAGTCATAGTAGTAGCCTTGGTCAGTTTCTGGGCTATATTTCTTTGCTAATTTTTAAGTCTTTTACCATGAGGATTTTGGAGCTGGACTATGGCCCATCCCCTACTAACCTTATTTGTTTTACAGAGACTGGTTCCAGCCAAAGACGGGTACGGTTTTCCTTGCCTTCAGGGAATCCTAAGACAGAACATGCATGATGGAATGCGTGATTCCATGACGGGCATCCCTGGTAGGTTGAAGGGAACCTCTTAAAACAGGCACAGTCATCTGTCCTGATGCAGAAGCACAGGTTTCTTTTTATTAATTTAAGAGAGACAAAATGCTGGGGACCAAAGTATTTCCGCTATGGAATATTTTGAGATCCAGCCTTTGGTTTCACTAAACATGGAGCACCAGAAATCTCCAGCCCACTATTGTATTGTTAATGCCAATAAGGCTACTACTGTTTACCATGGCCTCAGGGTAAATCTGTATGTGCCTAAGCATCTGAATAGGCCCTCACCTGGACAGAGGTGCTAGAGGTGTGGGATGGAAGGTTAGGAGTTAAGGGGCGAGCGGTGAGAGTGAGGGAACAAAGAGAGAAATGGTTGCCTCATGGTATCAGCAGGATGGTTAAGAAACACCAGAAAAGATGGCTAATAAAGAAAGTTCCACAACATGGAACTGAGAGCTCTCTGAAGATGACAAGATGCCTGTGTTTGATCTTTATCGTCGTTGGGTTGCTGGGAGCTTCCAGGTCCATACACCCCCTGAAAGACCCCTGCCCCTTAGCTCTTAAGTTCGCCGCTGATGGGGCGCGCGGCGGATGCCTCGCTCCTGTGCCTCCCCGATCTCCACCCCCGCCGGCCTCCACTTCCCCCGCCGCCGCACGTCCAGCCG